AAAAAAAAAAAAAAAATAAATAAAAATAAAGCTTACATTCTAGTTAATGAAAAACAATAAACAAAACTAGTACCTTTGGCATGCAAGGTGGTTATAAGTGCTAAGGAGAAAAATAAGATGGTGAAGGGGAGTGGAGAGTGTTGGCAATTTTGATAGAATGAACACGAAAGGCTGCACCAGGAAAGTTTCATTTGAACATTAAGAGTGAGGAAAACCTGAGAACAAACCAGCTGTGTATTTGAGGGAAGTACAGCTCAAAATTAAGAATTACCATCAAGAAGAAATCCCAGCGTAACCCTCCCTTAAGAGTCGCTACCAGAGTTTCGTTATTCCCCGCGCCCCCAGGAGCAAGGCCGCGGGTCTGAAAACAAGCGCCGGCCAATGCAGCCGCCATTTTGTTTCTGGGCACCAAATCTCGGCTGGGCCGGCTTGTCATCTGCCATCCCTCCCCCACTCACCAGACTTGGCGCCGGCTTGCTTCAGCTCCAAGTGAACAGCAGAGGGAGCCCAATGGCGGATTACGGGTTAGTGAGGGCCCGCCAGGAGCGGGCGGACGGGTTAGCCTGAGCTGCCCTCATCAAAGATGGCGTCTAGAGCTTTGCTCGGTCCCGCCGGGCGACGCACGCGTGCGGCCTGGGCACCGCGCTCGGGGGCGGGTCTACCGTGGGAGGGGGACGCGCGCCCTGCGGCCCTGCCTTAAGGCGACGCGCTGCAGCTGCAGCTGCTGCCGCAGCCACCGTCACCATTCCCAAATTCTGGAGGGGAGGATGGAGTCGATGACGGTCGCTACCGACAGTGGAGACAGGTCGGGGGTCCCAGCAGGCTCAGGCCTGTCAGCTTCCCAGCGTCGAGCCGAACTGCGGCGGAGAAAGCTGCTCATGAACTCGGAACAGCGCATCAACCGGATCATGGGCTTTCACAGGCCTGCGGGCGCGGGTGAGAGCCTCCGTTTTCTGTCTCTGGTCCCTCTTTGAATCTTCAGGATCGTTCTTCCCTCCCCCATCCCCAATTCCGCCGACCTTTTTGACCAAGTCCTGCTCTCTGACCTCTCTGTCTCCGCCCCTTAGCAGATAACCCACATTCACTTCTTAGCCCCACGACGTTTCTGATCACTACCCTTAGTTTTCTAGGGGCCTCTTCCTGAGATTGTTCCCACCATGGCTGCAAAACCATGTTTCCTGAATCACTGTGATTCCATCTGCGCGGTTTCCTTGAGAGGGTACCTTTCTTCCTTATCCATACTCTCGCCTTTCTTGAAGGGCGCACGAATTAGCACCAGACTTCGTCCCCTTAGGAAGATTGCTTTCCTTTCTTGACGTTCCCGGTGTTTTTACTTCTGGTGTCTTCCCGAGCATCTACCTTCTTTTGCTTTTTCCTATGTAACTCTCGTCCGCCCAGATCAGCTTGTCTTTACTGACTCACTGTCTGTCCTACATGGATCAGACTCTTGGGGTCATATCCCAGTGTTTGTGTTTAGTGCCCTGAACACTGTCACCTACGGGTCTTGTAAAAGGGGTGGAAAAAGTAGGAGTAAGCATTCTTTATAGACCCAAGAAATACGACCTACCTACTTGGGGTTTCCTCTCCTCATTAGCTCAGATTGATGCGGTTGATGTTTAGAACTGCATTTAATCCTAAAGGACAGTTTCTAATTTCTCCCCAAAGACATGCCCAGTGAGATTCTTTAAAAGTTTTTTTTTTTTCGTGTAAGTATAATTGAACACTTAGTATTCCTTCATTTTATGCAAGTTTCCCTTGTCTCCTTTAATAACTGTCCTTTAGTCATTGGTTGCAAGCTCCTTAGATTTTCAAGACTTTTGTTCTCTGAGACTTTATTTAGATACATAGCTGTGAAATTCTAGACAGTTCAAATGAGATCAGGTGAGATGGGAGAGTACCATTTTAAATTCTTGAAAAACAAAAATTAGAAGGAATATTTTTCTATAAGGAGGGGTATTCTTTCCTATTGTATTTCTTGGTGGTACTTTTTATTTTGCTTTGAACATTTTATGTCTTTAAAAGATTTTATTTTAAACCAGAGCAGCACTCTAAAACAACTGTACTACAGAATCAGTAGCTGTAGGATATGCCACACCCTAACACTTACAGGGGTCTGGATTCAGAAATCAGACTTTCAGCTCCGTGCCTGTGGCTCAAGCGTCTAAGGCGCCAGCCACATGCACCTAAGGTGGAGGGTTTGAATCCAGCCTGGGCCGCCAAACAAAAATGACGGCTGCAACTAAAAAATAGCCGGGCATTGTGGTGGGCGCCTGTGGTCCCAGCTACTTGGGAGGCTGAGGCACCTGTGGTCCCAGCTACTTGAGGCTGTCCCAGGGGGACAGTTTGAGGCTCTGTCTCAAAAAAAAAAAATCAGATTTTAAAATACAGGTTTTTAAAAGTTTTAATTATTTTATGTTTTTTTACCATATAAGCTAGAGTAGGCAATGCAGTACTATTTCTAGGATATGTTATTTATTAAAAATTGGTCTTGGCGGCACCTGTGGCTCAAAGGAGTACGGTGCTGGCCCCATATGCCAGAGGTGGCGGGTTCAAACCCAGCCCTGGCCAAAAACTGCAATAAATAAATAAATAAATAAATAAAAATTAAAAAAAAAAAATTGGTCTTTACAGCTTGCTTCCTCCCTTAAGACCAGTTTGTCTACTAGTCTTATTTCCCACTGACAAAGTTTGGGTTATTTCTTCTGCAGGAATACTTTTTAGGTGATACATTTTGAGGATGTAGAGGAAGGAACTAAGTTTTGTTTTATGCAGAATCAGTATGTATTTCATTTCAGAGATTGTGCTCTAGTTGCAGCAGCATATTTTAAAATACTAACATGTAAGAATTTTGCTGGGATATAATACATAAGGCTTTTAAATTTCTTTTCTCAGAAGAAGAAAGTCAAACAAAATCAAAGCAACAGGACAGTGATAAACTGAACTCCCTCAGCATTCCTTCAGTCTCAAAGCGAGTAGTGCTGGGTGATTCTGTCAGTACTGGAACAACTGAGCAGCAGGGTGGTGTGGCTGAGGTAAAGGGGACCCAACTGGGAGACAAACTGGACTCTTTGATTAAATCATCTGAGTGCAGTAATGACGTCAACCTTGAGCTCCGGCAGCGGAACAGAGGGGACCTGACAACAGACACTGTCCAGAGAAGTTCTCGCCATGGTCTAGAACAGTACCTTTCCAGATTTGAAGAAGCAATGAAACTAAGGAAACAGCTGATTAGTGAAAAACCCAGTCAAGAGGATGGAAGTTCAACAGAAGAGTTTGATTCCTTTCGAATATTTAGATTGGTGGGATGTGCTCTTCTTGCTCTTGGAGTCAGAGCTTTTGTTTGCAAATACTTGGTAAGAAAAAAGCTGAAAAGTATTAACTAATGCAAATTGGTCATAACAAATGAGTGCTTTTAATCCATAGAATCATTGCCAGTATTAACCTAATATCTACTAGAGCCATGTGGGTGTTTGGAAATGTTATAAACTTCACTATCTTAGTTATAGAATCAGGTGTTCTGATTAAACATAGAGCCTAATAATAATATTTACATTTGGCTCTTCATATGTGTGTGTCTTATAATGTTAGTTCTACTTCCACAGATTCAACCAAGTGTGGAATTAAAATATTTGGGAGAGACTCGGCACCCATAGTTCAGTGGTTAGGGTGCTGGCCACATACATTGGAGCTGGCAGGTTCAAACCCGGCCCAGGCCTGCTGCACAACAATGACAACTACAACAAAACAATAGCTGGGTATTGTGACAGGTGCCTGTAGTCCCAGCTACTTGTGAGGCTGAGGCAAGAGACTTGCTTAAGCCCAAGTGTTTTGAGTTTGCTGTGAGCTGTGGTGCCATGGCACTCTACCAAGGGTGACATAGTAAGAGTCTCACCAAAAATAAAAATCTATACATATATTTGAGAGAAAAATAAAATATTAAAAATACAATAACAAAAATATGATAAAACAACTAGATAGCATTTATGTAGCAATAGGTGTCATAATTAATCTGGAAGTGACTTAAAGTATATGGAAGGAAATGAGTAAGTTATATGTAAATACTACACCATTTTCTATGAGGGTCTTCAGCATCAGTGGATTTTGGTATCTGAAGGGGTTCCTGGAACTTTCCTTTGATACACATAACACAGAACTACTGTGCTAAAAACTTTTTACATACTAGGTACCATTCTAAGTGCTTTGCACTCTACTGAGGGTGACAAAGTTGACAAGGTGAAACTCTGTCTTAAAAAAAATGAAACTGGATGGGTTTAAACTCAAATGTCACTTAGTTGCTATGTGACCTTGAGAAAACCTCTAACTCTTTAGCTTAAGCAATTCTCTTGCCTCAGCCTCCCAAGTAGCTGGGACTACAGGCACCCACCACAGCACCGGCTATTTTTTTGTTGCAGTTGTCATTGTTTTAGCTGGCTCAGGGGCCAGGTTTGAACCCAGCAGCTAACGTGTATGTGGCTGGCACCCTACCCACTGAGCCACAGGCACTGCCCTATTTTTTTATTTTTATTTTTTGGAGACAGAGTCTCACTGTGTCACCTTCCATAGAGTGTTGTGGTATCACAGCTCACAGCAACCTCCAGCTCCTGGGCTTAAGCAATTCTCTTGCCTCAGCCTCCTAAGTAGCTGGGGCTACAGGTGCCTGCCAGGGTGCCCGGCTGTTTTTTATTGTAGTTGTCATTGTTTTAGCTGGCCCCAGGCCAGGTTTGAACCCGCCAGTCTGGTTGTATGTGGCTGGCACCATAACCATTGTGCTGTAGGCACTGAGCCTAGTAGTCATTTTAAGAATACCTACCATGTAGAAGGCACGTAAACAAGTTTTCCAAATAAGGTTTATATTATTAAGCAAAATAATTTTTTAATAATTTTTTTATGCAAATTTTTTTTTTTTT